ACCAACGCTGACCTATATATACTCTGTTCCGCCACAGGAGCCAGAAACCGCTACCAGCTACAAATACAAAATTTTGGCAAATCCGTTGATAAGTGTTGCAAAACTCAGTAAAATACCGAATATCCGGAGGTGCAGTTATATGATGGCTATACAAATAATATTTCGTCACGGAAGCTAGAACCTATTACGAACTACAAATACAAATTTTTGGAGAAATGCGTTGAAAATGTGGCAAAAATCATGCGGCATGCATATCGGGAGGTACCGTTATATGGGATCTATACAGAAACGTTGACCTTCATGTAAAATGTTTTATGGCAAAAATCATCAAAATACCGAATATCAAGAGGTATCACTATGTGGGGCTGTACAGAATGTGAACCTATTTGTACTATGTTCCGCCACAGGTGCTAGAACCCACTATGAACTACAACTACTAATTTTTGTACAAATCCGTGGAAAAATGTGACAGCTATCATCAAACCACCCAATATCAAAATGTACTGTTAGATGGGAGCTATACCAAAAGATGGACCTACGACACATGGAATACGAAATACAAATACCAATTTTTATAAAAATCCGTGGAAATATGTGGCAAAAATCATCAAAATACCTAATATTGGGTAGGAACCGCTATGTGAGGGCTATACATACTATATTCAGCAATAGGAGCTAGAAAGAGCTACGAACTACAAATACCAATTCTTAGACAAATACTTGGATAAATGTGGCAAAAATCATCAGAGTATCGAATATCGGGAGGTACCGAATTGACAAGCCGCCAACCCTTAGGCATCTAAATGTCAACAGGCGAAAAATATAGGGTTGTGTTTGTATCAACGCTTGAATCGCAAGCAATTCATTCGCGCTTTATTGTAAACTAAGTACATATAGTTGTACCAAAAAAAGGTGTACCACAAATATACCTTTGGACGGCCACACGTACATATTGGACGTACTGGCTCTATTGGAAGAACTTCGCGGGCACTTGTTCCCCGAGTCTCCATAGTGCGGACTTAACATTGGGCCTTCGAGCCGGATATGGATCAGCCTCTCGTTAACATTGGTCGCTTCGAACCGCTATAAGCAAAATCCCTTTTCTTCAAAATAGAAAATTCGATTCATTTTGCTGAAATTACAGTCCACATCATCAACATCTTTATGCCACCATTTACGTGCATCAACTAACATCGGTAGGTATAGTGAGCAAACAATAATAACAAGTGTTTCGTTAGTTTGTGGCCATCATAACAATTGTCGCGGATTCCCTTTTTTCGCGATCCGTCAAAGTCCATTTGCGGACAGGACAGCGGGAATAATAAAATCAAAGCAAAATTAATAATTTTGCATTTTCGTTTCGATTCTTATTATTCTCCAAATTCGTAGTCAAAATTGTTGACATATTGATAATTTGCTGTGTTACATTTTAAAACAGCATCCCTCAAAGTGCAATTTCTATTCTCCTTATTGTTTTCGTTTTAGGCGGCACCAAATATACACAAAAATATATTCATATTTACGCGAGTGACATACGCACATTCTGCAGCCTATTGGTGGCTGCATATTTGTTAATTACATACAGGTTCGTATTGTAACATACTCCAGCATCGTCGCTTTGTCGTTCCGTCTTGTCGGTCAGTCAGTTGATTGCATGCGACAAGCATACACACGCATTCGCACATAAATATTTCGTTTGTGCAATTCTCTTTTGTGTCGTGTCCGTTTTTATTACACAGTCTTCCCTCACTGTATTATTACACAGTGTCTGGTCGGTAAATTAGTACTGATACCAGCAATTATATATTTTATTGAAAATATATAAAACTAGTGTCGGGGAGCATTTTGAAAATATTTTGGACATTTTTAATTTTCGTGCACCCTACAACCGGTCAATTGGACTTTTTAATTGTGTAGGGCGCTACTTTTGCATATAGTTGCAAAAAAAAAAAAACAAATTTCCTGATTTTAAGTACTTTTTGATTCCTGAGTTATAATTTAATTTTGTGATTTTCATTTTGTTACGCTACAATAGGTAGCTCGGTTAATAAATATAACCATTCGCTTTTTCCAATACGAATTTCCTTTGCATATCGTTGCAAATTGTTAATTGGTGTATTTCAAATATGTGGTTATTTGCCATTGTGATGTTTTTGTTATTGTCTTAATTTATTGTTGGTGATTCTTATTAAAATTGAAAATTACTTATTGATTGGAAATTGGATTAATATTGAAAATTTAATGGTTTCAGTTTCTCGTTGAAATTGGTTTTTGGTTCAACTTCTTTGAAACTTAAATTATAGCTAGAGAGATTTGACTTAATTTGGACAATCGATTCCGCTATTTGAGTCTATTATCTTCACATTTCGACAAAATTCATCTTTCTTTTGTCCTTAAACGACTTTAAGATATCATTGGGTTTAAATACTTCTTTTTATTGGAGTTTTGTTGCAAAAACTTTTGATTAATTCTTACTGTGATATAGTTCAACCATTTTTTGTGTTATTTTTTTAAAAATTGCTTCCACTCCTATGAATATGTTTATACGTGCTTCCAGTTCTATGGTGATATTCACTGCATACTTCGGTGCAATGAAGGAAAAAAATTTGATACTTATGATCTAGAAGTTCGACAAGAAGATATTGGAAAGCTATGGAAATCAGTCTAGGAAGCTTTCAATAACTGCCTCTCACATGTAGAAAGCCCAGAAGATCTTGACACACTTTACAGCAAATATGAGGTTTCGTCTGAAAAATATTTAACTTGCGCATCGGCGATAAAAAGATTGTTGTCTAAATTTAAGATTGATTCAAATGTGTACCTGAACTTATCTCGCAGCAGTTCAGTAGATTCCTTAACTAAGCATCCAGATACTATTCTTGTAGAAATACATTGGCTCGTTGTCCCACTCTTCCGCTCCGCAATTTTGAATATTGGGAATCCTAGAATAGACACAAGCTTTTTTGTTGAATTGGAAAGAAAATTGGCTCACCATTTCATTCTGTTAATGTATGTAATAAAGAACATTCGTTGAAACATATAGTTGTTTCAAGGGAGGCGGCAAATGTTAGAATCGCTGGTAAAAATAGTTGAACAGTCAGCCTATAATTTGAAATAAAATTTCCGTTAAAATCTGTCTACTCCTATTTACTACATTTTTGTTGTAGTAGGATATACAAATCTCAACGAGCGTTTGACATTGAATTGACAAGCATCCAACCCTTTGGACATCTAAAAGTCAACAGATAAAAAAAAACTAGAGTTGAAATTGTATCAACGCTTGAACTGCAAGCAATTCATTCGCGCTTTATTGTAAGCTAAGTACATATAGTTGCACCACAAAAAGGTAATATCGTTTACTACAAATAAATATACTGCAATTGGCCGAACCATTTTATATTAAAACTATTGTACTTTCTTTTTATTTTATTTAACCTCCCTATACCTTTGGACGGCCACACGTACGTATTGGACATACTGTCTCTACTGGGAGAGCTTCGCCGGCACTTGTTCCCCGAGTCTCTATAGTGCGGACTTAACATATACAATGTTTCGGCACCGGAGCTAGAACCTATTACGAACCACAAATACAAATTTTTTAGAAATGCATGGAAAATGTGGCGAAAATCATCATAATTACCTATGCATACACTGTTCCGCCCCAAGAGCTATAAACCGCTACGAGCTACAAATACCAAATTTTAGACAAATCCGTGAATAAATGTGGCAAAACTCATCAAAATACCGAATATCGGGAGCTATACAGAAATGTGGACCTTTATATACAATGTTTTGCTGCCGGAGCTAGGACCCATTATGACCTACAAATACCAATTTTTGGACATATCCTAGGAAAATGTGGCAAAAATCATAAAACTACCGAATATTGGGAGGTAAAATTATGTGTGGCCGCATATTGCATTTTGGGAGGAACCGTTATATGGGAGCTATTCAGAAACGTGGACCTTCATATATAATATTTTGCTGCCGGAACTATTATGACTTACAAATACCAATTTTTAGACAAATCTGTGGAAAAAGTGGCAAAAATCATCAAAATACAAACACGTGCACATATACATACAAAGTTTCGTCACCGGAGCTAGAGCCTAATGCGAACTGCTAATACGAATTTTTTGACAAATCCGTGGAAAATGTATCATTAAAATAACAAATATTGGGAGGTACCATTATGTAGGGCTATAGAACCCATTACGAACTACAAATACCAGTTTTTGGAGAAATCCGTGGAAAAATGTGGCAAAAATCATCTAATTGCCGAATATTGTGAGGTACCTTCATGTGGGGCTATAGAACCCATTACTAACTACAAACACCAAATTTTTAGACAAATCCGTGCAAACATGTAGCAAAAATCATCAAATTATCGAATACCGGAGGTTCCGTTATATGAACGCTATACAAAAACGTGGACCTTTACTAACAATATTTCGCTGCCAGAGCTAGAATCCATCATGACTTACAAATACCAATTTTTGATGTGAAAATCATTAAAATACTGAATATCAGGAGGTACCATTATGTGGAGGCTATACAAAGCGTGAACCTGTACGTACTATTTTCGGCCGCAGGAGCTTGAACCCATTATGACCTACAAATACCATTTTTTTTACAAATCCGTGGAAAACATGACAAAAATCATCAAAACACCGAATATCAAGATGTACCGTTAGATGGGAGCTACACCAACACGTGGACCTTTATAAGAAGAATGTTTACCTGAAGGAGCTAGAAAATACTACGAAACACAAACAAAATACCAAATATCGGGAGGTACCGTTATATGGGGGCTGTAACAACCGCCAAAATAACCAAATAAAACAATAACCAATTAATTCAGGAACGGTTTCTTTTAATGAATAAACTATTTATAATAGGAACATAAAACGACGCGATTTCATCAGAAAAACTAATAATAATTTATTTTCATAAGTGATGCCAGATCAACTGGTTATGTTTGTGTGCTGCCACTCTGATAGCTATTCAGCGGGTTGCCACATCCCTCCTCTATTTTTCTTAAGCTTCATGGTTACTTTCGGCCTGGATCCTCCCGTATCTAAGTTAGATGATTTTGATGATGGTTCCGATGATGATTCATTGGTTAAAGGCCCTTCGTCGGCGGCATCTGGATCATGATGGAGTTCGTGATGTTCTGGATCTGCAACCGAAGTCTCCGTGGGCCTTGCTAAAGATGGTAGCGATGAATCAGTTGGAATTTTCTTAACATGAGTAATGTTTCTGCGATACACTCTGCCTTCTCCTGATATCACGACATCATTGCCCTTTCGTTCCGTTACTTCGTATTCAGTTTGCCCAAAGGTTGTAGATAATTTGTTAGAGTGGACAGTATTTCGCATCAATACTTTATCCCCAACTCTGATGTTGCAATCGACCGCATTTCTGTCAGAATCGGCTCTCTGTTTCCCTTTATCTTTATTCACAATGTCATTGTCTCTGGCTTCAGAGTCGATAACATTCTCTTCAACGTCATTCAGCGATGGAATCTTATCTCTAATGACTCGATTAAAAATAAGTTCCGATGGAGCTTTCCCTGTTGTGCCATGCGGAGGGTAAATTTACGAATCTCCTTTTTATAGTCCAAACCCTGCGAGTGAGCAATCTGAAGACGTTTTAAAAGAGAGCGGTTCAAGTTTTCGACCTCTCCATTAGCTTGGGGCCAATAAGGCGGTGATGTCATCAAGTCGATATTATTAGTACTGCAAAAAGTCTTGAATTCTTCGCTCACAAATTGGGGCCCGTTATCTGCAGTTATTGACTTGGGATATCCATGTCGGGCAAATATTTCCTCGAGAAAATCAATAATTTCCGTTGACGTTATCTTCTTCATAAATTTTAGCTCGTGATATCGTGAGTAGTAGTCAATAACTACAAATACAAAATCGTGATTCGGCAACGGGCCCAATAAATCCATTGCTACACAAGCCCAGGGACTGTCTGGCATGATTCGTCTTTTCATAGGAGCCGGTGGTATTGGCCGAGATACCAACATACATTCATAACAGCTTTTCACGTATTTCTCTATATCTCTATCGACCAAAGGCCACCAAATCTTCGAACGAATTCTTCGCTTCATCACGGTTTCGCCTGGATGACCTTCGTGGCCTAGATCCAGCACTCGTTGTCTCAGGCTTGCAGGAATCACAAGTCGCGTACCTCTTAGCAACAAATTCCCTAAAATACTGAGCTCAAATCGAAATGGATAATACCTGTTCTTAGTAGCTGTACTCCAATCTTCGGTATTTACACATTCCACTGCCTGCAAAATCTCATCATCTTTGCTATTATTGTGTACAATTTCCAAAATGGTTAAAGCCTGTGGTACAGAATTTTCTATTATAGAGCAAATGCTGAACTCGCATGGCTTATCAAAAGTAACAGCTGTATCCAGATTACAGAGTCTGGACAATGAGTCTGCTATGTTATGTTTCCCCGCTTTGTATATAATTTTTAAGCTAAAGGACTGCAGGCGCAAGACCCAACGCTCGATACGAGCCGGCGGCTTCGATGTTGGCTTAAAAATGGCTTCGAGAGGCTTGTGGTCCGTCTCCAGCTCAATTTGAATCCCCGCTAAGTAATAATAAAATCGCTCGACAGCCCACACCAGAGCCAGGCTCTCTTTCTCAGTCTGCGAATATCTGCGCTCTACTTCAGACAGCGCCTTACTTGCAAAAGACACGACATACGGAGTGTCTCCAGTAAATTGAATTAGTACCGCTCCCAAAGCCACTGGGCTGGCATCCGCAATTAATCTCGTGCGCCGTTTCGGTGAAAAATAAGTAAGTGTTGGAAGGGCAATTAATTTTTCCTTGAGTTTTAAAAATGCATCGTTTTGTCTCGTGGTCCAAATAAACTTCTCGTTGGCTTTCGTGATTTCTCTTAGAGGTTCAACCAAATCGCTCAAATCCGGTATAAATTTACCTAAATAGGTAACCAGACCAAGAAACCTGCGAGTCTCCTCCCGTGAGTTGGGTGCTCGAAAATTCAGCACACTATCGATTTTATCCGGGTCAGCGCTTATACCATTTGTTGATAGGACGTGGCCCAGAAATTTTAGATTTTGTACTTTCCACAAGCATTTGTCTTCGTTTATGGCTACATTGAAGTTTTTAAAGGTGTTAAGGACATCTTGTAAATATTCATCATGTTCCTTTGCAGTTGCGCCGAAGACTATGATATCATCCAAATAGTTTAGTGCATTCTTGCATGGGGCCAAAATACTTTCCATAGTTCTCTGGAATATTTCGGGAGCTGAGTTCACCCCAAATAACAGTCTTTTGTATCTAAATAAGCCTTTCGAAGTTATAAATGTTGTTATATAGCGGCTTTCCTCTTCTAACTCCAATTGATGATAGGCATTTTTAAGGTCAAGCCTCGAAAAGAATTTAGCACCTTGTAATCTCGTCATAAAACTATCAAAAGTAGGCAATGGATAATTTTCTCTCAAAATTGCTGTATTTGCACGCCTCATGTCAATGCACAGCCGAATGTCGCCATTTTCCTTGAAGACAACTACCACAGGAGATATCCAAGCGCTAGGACCAATAACCGGTTCAATAATATCCAGAGCTAATGCCTCATTAAGTTTCGCCTCGACCCTATCCTCAACCGCAACAGGCACCCGGCGTAATGGTTGTTGGATAGGTCTTACGGTGGTGTCAATAGATAAGTTTACTTTTATTCCAGCAATTTTATTGAACGGTTGCAATTTCTCAACATGATTAATGCCGATACCCAGCTTCAACACACCTAGTTTGATGGCCGTATCTTTACCAAGCAACGATTGTTCGCCATGCTCAATGACTTTTATCGTTAATGCCGCTTTGCCAGCGTATGCTTTAAATTGATGATCTGAACCGAATATTCCACATGACTGCGTTTCCATCATTCAACAAATTCCAATCATCTTCACAAAGCAGATTGTATTTTGATCCTGAATCAATCAGCATACTTATTTGCTTACCACCGATAAAACACTGAATTATCTCAGCCGCAGATTCTCCTTCATTAAATATCTTGAAACAATAGTCATCATTTGCCTTGGAGTTATTAGCATTCACGTCTATCGATTGGCCATCAATATATCGTATTTTGTTAAAACCAAAATCCCGGCGCTTTGTATTTCTATTATCAAATGTTGAAAACTTTCGTTTGTTTGAGGTAGTACGGCATTTACGAGCAAAATGTCCCAACATGGCACATTTGTTGCATTTCATTTTCCTGGCTGGACAGTTCATACTGTTTCCGTCATGGCTGCTCTGTCCACATCTAAAACATTCTCGGTTCTCAGAAATTTTATTGATTTCCGCACCCGCGCTCTTGCTTGGAGCATTCATTGATTGTGTCTGAGCATTAATTTGTTCATGGATTTGGCAAATTTCAATTACTTCTTTCAAGGTGTGCTCTTTTTCCAAAATCTTCTTTTTCAAATCCGCAGACGCCCAGGCGTCAATCAACTTATCTTTAATACTAATTTCCAATATTTCATCCTTTGTTGTTCCAAACACACACTTCGACGCCTGTTGCCGTGTTCTTAACAAGAATTTATTAAAGGTTTCATTACATTCTGCTTTCAATGATCGAAATAGATGCCTCTCAAAATGTTTGTCAACTAATATTTTGTAAGCATCTTCGTTTTCTGCACAAGTCAAGGCACCTGGAATGTTATGCACAACTTCCTGCAATTGAGTTCCACCGTAATGCAAAAGTTTATTCTTTTTCTTGATCACATCTGTTATTTCTTCTGCATCAAAGTAGAATGTAAATGACCTGAGCCATTTTTCCCACTCAGTACGAATGAGTGACTTGTCAATTGCTTCGCACAGAAATGGCCTTATTCCATTTGTCTCATTCATGTCTGAAAACAATGTTATTGTTTCCTAAAATAAACTGTTCTTTTTAACATTCACTGTCATTACGACATTATATTCAACAACTTACGATTGATCGTATTGTACATTTGCTTGTAAATTAATTTGCCCAACTGGCCCAGATCTTATTCCAACTTGGAACACAGATTTTTTTCTCGCACCGCTTGTGCTTATTCTTATTTTAGTTTTTTAAACTAAAACACAGAATTTGTTTGCCTAACTGGCAATCTGAAATTATAAATAAAATCGTTCTCATCAATTCAGATTTCATTTCCGAAGAATTTCATCCAAACGTCTACTGCGTGCATGCGCGAATTGTTTGTTTCCTTTTCTTCCCATATTTACCTCGTCGCCACTGTAACAACCGCCGAAATAACCAAATAAAACAATAACCAATTAATTCAGGAACGGTTTCTTTTAATGAATAAACTATTTATAATAGGAACATAAAACGACGCGATTTCATCAGAAAAACTAATAATAATTTATTTTCATAAGTGATGCCAGATCAACTGGTTATGTTTGTGTGCTGCCACTCTGATAGCTATTCAGCGGGTTGCCACAGGGGCTATACAGAAACGTGTGCTTTACATACAATGCTAAACTTCCTCAGCTAGAATCCATTATGAAATACAAATACCAATTTTAGGACAATTCCGTTAAAAAAATGTGGTAAAAACCATTAAAACACTGAATATTAAGAGGAACCGTTATATGGGCACCATACAAAGACATGGAACTTTATATAAATTATGCAATTTTGTTAAAATTTATTATTACATTTATTTTTATACCCTCCACCTTGGAAAGGAGGGTATATTAACTTTGTCATTCCGTTTGTAACATCCTTAAATATTCGTCGTAGATCCCATTAAGTATATATATTCATAATCAGCATAAAATTCTAATTCGGTTTAACGATGTCTGTCTGTTGAAATCGCGATACAGCCCACATTATTTGACGTAGAGCGCCAAAATTTAGCAGAGCTATTTGTATTGTGTCTAGGATGGTTGGTATTGAAAATGAGATATATCGGTTCACGTTCTGGTATAGTCCCCATATAACGGTACCTCCCGATATTCGGTATTTTGATTGTTTATGCCACATTTTTTCACGGATTTGTCTGAAAATTGGTACTTGTAGGTCATAATGGGTCTCTGTGCCTGTGGCAAAACATTGCATGTATGGGTCCACGTTTTGGTATAGCCCCCATTTAAAGGTACCTCCCGATATTCGGTATTTTAATTTTTTTTGCTACATTTTTTCACGGATTTGTCTAAAAATTGTTATTTGTTGGTCATAATGGGTTGCAGCTCCGGTGGCGAAACATTGCATGTATGGCTCCATGATTTGGTATAGCCCCCATATAACGGTACCTCCCAATATTCGGTATTTTGATGGTTTTTGCCACATTTTTTTTACTGATTTGTCTAAAAATTGCTATTTGTGGGTCATAATGGGTTCTAGTTCGTGTGACGGAACATTGTATGTGTAGGTCCACGTTTTGACATAGTCCCCATATAACGGTACCTCCCAAATATTCGGTATTTTGATGATTTTTGACACATTTTTTCAAGAATTACTCTGAAAATTGGTAGTTGTAGATCATAATGGGTCCCAGTTCATGTGGCGAGTCATTGTAATTGTAGGTCCACGTTTTGGTTTAGCCCCCATATAACGGTACCTCCCGACATTTGGTAATTTGATGATTTTTGCCACATTTTTACATGGATTTGTCTGAAAATTGGTATTTGTAGTCATAATGGGTTCTAGCTCCGTTGGCGAAACATTGTATGTATGTATTGATTTATTACACTCGATAGTGGCTAAAAGTACTGTTTAAGTTGGCCTTCAACTTCCCGAGTCCAGTCAATCACGGATGCTGATTGACACAACGGGCATCTCCTCGGCATACTTCCCTCGGCGGAGACCGTAGAGCACAGATGCCACCTGGCGGTGGCTGTTGTTGGTTAGCTCACTTTGATACACACGAGACTCTGCTCTCGTTGGAAATAATTGTAAATGTAGTAGCAGTAATCAACAATGATCCTCGGCGATCACTGCGATCCTCCGCGATTGCAAGAACCTCAGCGTTCACTTGTCGATCAATTGTTGACACATAAACACAAAGGTCTTTGCGTCACCCCAAATTACACAAGGTAATTTTGTTTGTTGTTTAGAAAAGAATCTCTCAATAAACCACCAAACTTATTTGAATTTAAAACTAATCACTATTTGTGTCTTTTTATTTCGCTCCTTTCACCTCCTCACAATTCCCCGCCTATACCTTCGATGACGTCCAGATTCTTATAAATTTTAAGGCATCGCTCTATTTCCATTAGCGTGTTGTGGAAGCGCTCTACCTGCCCCTTTGGTGTGCTGTGCCTTAATGGTTTATACTCTCCAACACTAAGTATCCTATAATTTTATCATTTTTATACCCTCCACCATACTAAGGAGGGTATATTAACTTTGTCATTCCGTTTGTAACTCCTCGAAATACTCATGTCAGACCCAACAAAGTATATATATTCTTGATCAGCGTAAAATTCTAAGTCGATTTAGCGATGTCCGTCTGTCTGTCTGTCTGTTGTAATCACGCTATCTTTCGAATGAATTGAGATAGATGGCTAAAATTTTGCACACATGTTTATTTTTCCAGTAGGCAGGTTAAGTTCGTAAATGGGCCATGTAGGTCCACGTTTTCATATAGCCCCCATATAACGGTACCTCCCTATATTCGGTATTTTGATGATTTTAACGACATTATTCACGGGAATTGTTTCAAATTTGGTATTTGAAGTTCGTTATAGGAACTACAGTCTGTGACAGAAAATTGTCTGTGCGAGTCCAGGTCTTCGTATAGGCCCCGTATATCAGTACCTCTCTATATTTGGTATTTTGATGATTTTAGCGACATTATTCACCGGAATTGTTTCCAATTTGGTATTTGAAGTTCGTAATGAATACTACAGTCTAAGATAGAAAATTGTCTGTGCAAGTCCATGTCTTCGTATAGCCCCCATACAACGGTACCTCCCGATATTCGGTATTTTGATGATTTTAACGACATAATTCACGGGAATTGTTTCAAATTTGGTATTTGAAGTTCGTTGTAGGAACTACAGTCTGTGACAGAAAATTTTCTGTGCGGGTCCAGGTCTTCGTATAGGCCCCATATATCAATACCTCCCTATATTCGGTATTTTCATGATTTTAGAGACATTATTCACCGGAATTTTTTGAAAATTGGTATTTGAAGTTCGTAATGAATACTACAGTCTAAGATAGAAAATTGTCTGTACAAGTACATTTCTTCGTATAGCCCACATATAACGATACCTCCTGATATTCGGTATTTTGGTGATTTTAACGACATTATTCACGGGAATTGTTTCAAATTTGGTACTTGAAGCTCAAAATGGATACTACACCCTAAGACAGAAAATTGTCTGTGCAGGTCTACGTCTTCGTATAGCCCCCCTATAACGGTACCTCCCTATATTCGGTATTTTGATGATTTTAGCGACATTATTCACCGGAATTGTTTGAAAATTGGTATTTGAAGTTCGTAATGAATACTACAGTCTGTGACAGAAAATTGTCTGTGCGGGTCCAGGTCTTCGTATAGGCCCCATATATCAGTACCTCCCCATATTCGGTATTTTGACGATTTTAGGTACAATACCCACCGAAATTGTTAAAAATTTGGTATTTGAAGTTCGTAATGGATGCTACAGCCTGTGACAGAAAACTGTCTATGCTGGTCCAGGTCTTTGCACAGCTCCAATTTAACGGCACCTCCTTATATACGATATTTTGATGATTTTAGCTACATTATTTACCGTTTATTTCAAGTTTCCAATTTGAATATGGTAATGGCTTATAACAAACCCCAATATGACGCCTATATTCGGTATTTTTAAAATTTTAACAGAATTTTTTAAGGATTTTATTTTTTTAAAATTTCCAAATTCGTTGCAAATGGTGGAGGGTATTAAAAGTTCGGCCCGG